CTGTGCAAAACTACGTAAATTTGTATACCCCTTGCGATAATGTAGGTCCCCTTTCAGACACGTCAAGTCTTGAAAGCAATTTTTATCGCATTCTCTTTTGTGTTTTCTCTTTGCTTTTTTTATTGAATTCAAGCCCTTGGATCTTTAAATGGGAAGCAACGAAAAGATCAAAAGAGAACAAGAAAACTTGAAACGAATTGACGGTACGGAGGTATCTGTACTCTTCCCACCTCCTTCGCCAGCGAACGAGCAGACTTGAAAGCAAGACTTGACGTGTCTGAAAGGGGACTAGCTCAAAAGAAATTATGAACGGGACACCCTATTGTACATATACAGGTATGTAAGTACAACCATATGTGCATAAACAACTATTATACGAAATATTTTCCCTAAGTCATATTAGCCCGTGGTTTAGTAGTCGTTCGCAACTATGAATATATAGGTATCGAGCCCTAACAGAACCCCGTAGCGAAAGTGGACACCGGTGACGTCGTCACTAATGAGGATTTAGTGACATCGTCGCACTTGCTGTGAATCCTAAACGACATATAGCTGACAATGACACTGGTGAGAATGTCATGCAGGTGTACTCCTATCAAAGACTTATAACAGACTTATAACAGACAATGCAGCGGTCACTTAAGCAAAGTCTATTGTCCCTGCAGGGAAACCACGGACCAGTGAATAAAATTTCTAGTTCCGTACTAGGTCTTTATCGCCAAAAAGGAACTAGTCCGACAGGAACTAGATCCCCACCAGTCCAAAATCGGCCAAAAGTGGCACTTTTAAAAAACTAATTTTTTCAGTTTTTTTCACTAGAAATCTATATCTCCAGTGACGAATTTAGAAATGGTTCGGAACTATAGAAAAAGGGATACAGAACGAACTAGATCTTATTTGTCGAATTTAGAACTAGTTCGGAACTATTGAATAAGGGATGCAGCGGGGGGCTTGTTTACTTTACATAGATACCCTGTAGGGAAAACACGAACTAGTGAACCAGATTTCTAGTTCA